GTCATATCTACTTCGAAGGGTGAAGACAGCTCACGCAGTACAGACCCGCCGCTTATCGCACAGCTCGGGGGAGATATGTCGTTGAAGAAGGAGCACTTCACTGCAGTGATACGTGCCGCTCTACTAGAGGGTAGAGTGTACGTTGTCGAACACGATTCCCGTATCATGTCTCTTTCAGTGTGGTTCCGAAAGCCGAATAGTCTCTATCAGTCGTGAGTGCTCAGCGGTCATTTCATGAGGTGAATGGCCTAACCGTATGACAGGGAGGCTCAGCGAGCCCTAGGCTTTAGTGACCTATTGAACAAGCTCCCGGAGGATATTCGGCGTTGGTGGACGGTGGATGTAAGCCTCACTCACCTCTGCGGCGGCATAGCATTCTGATGAGTATATGAACCGTTCGTTAGTGTCCTAAGCAGATGGGGGACTTTCAGAAGACAATCATAAGCCAAGAGGTGATATTGTGCATGCTGCGTGCAAAGCTGACACCCTACTCAACGGCTTGCATTCCAAACAGGAATGGGACATGACGTGGTATTGCAACCTAATGGCCACAGACGTCAATTATCAACATCAAGGTCATGCTACGTTCTGTATGAATACCTTCGCTGCCCAGGTAAGCAAAACAGTCCCTTCACTGCTCAAAGACTCACTGCATTGCGCAGGTACTTCAGCCCAATGAGTTCATGGGACTCTCAACTGGAGTGCTTCAGACGGCGAGTGGTTCTGGACGTTCGCTCGTGCGCACGGTGTAACACACTATCAGGCACATGTCTACAAGACCATGGAATACCAAGAGCGGGGGCGCATCATCATGCAGACGCCGGTCAACGAGTTTCCAGTCATCTGGCTGACAAGGAGTTAGCCATTCGACCGCTGGGACATCCTTGAGCTTTGTCGGATTTACCTGCGTTCAACTGCCGGTAGATATTTCCAGATTGAATCCCGCGTAGCGCTGTGCGCGAGTCATCAGAGCCAGAGGAAACGTAGATAGGCATCTAAGAAGTGCATGCCTTACTGGGCCCAAGGACCTAAGGGCTGGCACGGCGCTGGCCTCATCGACGTCCAACTCCAAGCGAGCGCGCGAAACGATGCCGACGTATAATGCCTTAACGCCGACGGGTCAAACCGCCGCGATGACGACAGGCGGTGTTTGCTCCGTCCCACCACGCATCGTCTGTTACACACTTTCTATGCTGGGTAGTACGCCTGTACCAATGGCCAGTGTACGGCCCCTGCTACACAATACGATGTGTCGAGTGCAGTCATGCAATACTCGTCAGGCTCAAGCATCCTGCTTGAGTTCGGCGCCCGTTGAGACGCAGTCCGCCTATAAAGACGATGGATACTGCGTTGAGCATCGCTAGCACCCGCGCAAGTTCCGTATCTCACCCAGATAGCATGTCCGAAGTCAAGAGAGTCTGGCTAATCACTGGTGCATCCAGTAATTTCGGTATCGCCTTAACGCGCGCTCTGCTCAAAGCCGGCCATCGCGTAGTTGCTGCGGCGCGAACGATCTCCAAGATACCCTTCGTTACTCACGATGAGCTCCTGGTCCTGCCAATGGACGTGAGCGAGCCTGCATCTATCTCCAGGGCCTTTGAGGAAGCAGTGAAGGCTTTCGGGCGCATCGATGTCGTCGTGAACAAGGCCGGAGTTCACGTGTGTGGCGAGTTGGAGAGTATCCCCGAAGCAGCGGCTCGGGAGATGTGCGATGTTCAGCTTTGGGGACCGGCCCGTATACAAGCAGAGGTGCGTGCTTTAAGTTTCTCTCCCGTGCAGTTATCTCATGTGCTACCAGGCCATGGCGATATTCGAGGCGCAACAGAGCGAAGGGCTGGTCATCAACATCTCATCTGCTCTGGCAGTCTTCAACGCTCCCCTGCGTTCCATGATATCTTCATCCAAGGCAGGTAGGAATATTTACACCCTGATCTTACTTGCTTCGATCTTCACGGTCCTGACTAGTTCCGTAGCCGCAGAGGCTCTGACTCTTGCTAGGGCTCGCACGTCTCCGTTCGCTTCGGCTATCAACGTTCGACCTGGCGCTTTCGAGAAAGAGCCCAAGACAGACTTCTACCCTCAACTCGCCGCCTACGCTTCCAACGATTTAGGTCGCACCATCGCTGGCTCGATGCGCAAGCAAGGCTCGCCACCTCCAGGCATAGGCGATGTTAATAAGATGGCCGCCTCCGTCATCGCTCTTGCAGAACTCCCTAGAGAGTTGCGTCCCAAGTCTGTTTCGCTCGGAAGCGATGCCTATTCGATGGCTCTGGTTTGCGCGAAAAAACGAGTGGATCATCTGCAGTATGGGCAGCGTCTATTGAGGCGGCTCAGGGAGAATGGCTCTAGTCCTCGGATCACTTCTCCTCAGGTTTGGTTTGGTGAGCCTATCTCATTCTCTAGTAGCCTATCTTGTTCTCATAATGCTTTCAGTTGCGAATGCAACGTCGACTCTCGGACTAGCTTTAGTTCGTATGCTACTCTCTTCGGGGCAACGCGTCGCCGCCGTCGTGGAATCCCGCTCATCTGCACCATTTCGCGCCGCCGAAGATGCACTTCTGTTCCTCGAGCAATCGTCACCAGACAGTGAGACGTTAGAGGCAGCTCTTGTGACTGCAGCTAGTTATTTCGGGCGCGTGGACATCGTCGTGAATGTTTTCTCTCCAAAACAACCCTCTAGCAAGGACGAATGGCTTGCCGCTCAAGCGCTCTTTGAGCGCGTCTTTTGGAACCCCATCCTGGTTTGCCGTGCTGTGAGTGATATGATGATTACATGCTGTGGTCATGAATACTCACTCAACAGCGCGCAGGCTGTCAAGATCTTTAGAGAACGCAATCCAGCTGGCGCTGGTGGCCGCATCTTCAATGTACTTGCAACCCCCGACTCCGAAGACCATGCTGCCAGCTATCACAATGCGGCTAACACCGGTATGACGCACATCCGCTGCTGAGTCGTACGTCGATTGCTAACCCTATGTTCAGCCACCAATGCAGCATCGACGTCCCTAGTCCGCGAACTACCGGGCAAATGGAACATCGCCGCCGCCACTCTCACCCTCGATCCAAAACTATTTGAAGAGGACGCAACCGCCCGTATATTGCTGCGGCTTGCGGGTGTGCCGAATGCAAAGCTACCCAGTCAACTTCCGATAGGACCCCGCGCCCTCGCTATTGCTCAGCATGCGGCCGAAGCAGAACTGTCCGAGGTCACATCAGAAGGCGCGATGACGCGTGCAATGGCGACGGACTACGCGCACATCGATGGACGAGCGCGTATTGGGCTTACCGAGGCCATCTTCACCATGGTCTTGTCGCCTTCGCCATCTATCATCGGTTGGATAGTGTCGGCACTTTCTGTGCTGGGATGGGGCCTACGACTCGTGGCCTACGAGAAGGTTCTCAGTCGATGCGAAAACCATCCGATCTCGCAGTGAAGAAGGGTTGAGATCAGGACGATGTACTGTATGGTGGTAGCACGATCCCAGGCATCCAATGTGATTGGTGGTAAAAACGCCGCGTTTTGGGGCGTTGCAGAGTATCTTCGCACGCGGTATCCCGCATGCCAGCGCGCTACACTCGTCCCTTTGACCTTCTTATCCTCACCATGATCTACTTTGGGTGCACAGCGGAAGCCCTGCATCATGCATGCGCCAGCTTGGACCTCTCTTCGAATCTGTTGGGAGGGTTCGCACCCCCTGGTCGAAGATGATAGTCGGGTTTCGCGGCCTGTCAAAACTCGACATGAGCAAGCGCGCGCTTGACATAGAGCCAAGCTTAAGCTGTACCAGCCTCTCCGCAACGCCCATATCCCTCTCTGAGCGGGATGGTTGCAGACGTAGTAGATGTTCTGTCTACCTTGTCAACTTTGGCGAAAGCCCCAACCCGACACGAACTTCAACGCGCACTGCATACCCAACAAACAGTGATCGATAGCCGCACTTCCTTTCTTCTAGCTTCTCTGCGAGCGTCTTTCTCATTCATCTGCTGCTCAAGAGACTGCGTTTCGTACGACGTGTGCCTTGGTACGCCATCAGGATGGCGGCGTACGACCGGTTGCCAGGGCTCCTCGCGCATGACGAGCCGTATATCTGTCCGTTCGTCCTTTCCGAGCTCTTGTTCTCCGCGCCCCGGGACGTGCACCAAACTGGACCAACTGGCTCCGACAGTCCTATCGTATTGGCAGGTGGACTTTCTCTTCGACGTCCATGGCTTCTGGTACGTACCCTCAACATCGCAGTGACGTACAAGGCCTGACAAGTCTTCGCAGCTGCATTGATTGCGGTCCTCGTTGTACTCATAGTCTTGGCGCTGGCGTCTATTGAGGTCACCATGTATATCACTCATCGACGTCGACGTCAAAACAGAAGACAAGGGGTCAGCCACAAGAAGTCCTTGCCATGGAGTACGTTGGGTATCGCGTCGTCCATACCGCCACAGGTGCTTGACATTGTGAATGCGCCGCGACCTCCCTCTCCTTCACATATAATACCACGATCCGATCCGGGTACGACGTCGATTGCGTACAGCGCGCTGCTCGGATCGCTGACTCTTTCATGTAGAGGCATGTCAAGTGCTGGATAGGCCTGTAACATCATCAGGTATCACTGCCCTCAACCCGTATACACCACCGCCACCGCCACCCGTCATCCCGCGGCTACCTCTGCCCGCTCCTCTTGTCATACCCTGGCCAAACGAGAAGGAGCGCATCGATACCGTCTCGCTCACTTCCACCACCCGCCCGCCAAGCTACAGCCAAGTCGACGTCAGCCCATTGAGTCCACGATACACGCTCGTCATGCGCGGACAGTGGCCCTCGCCGGTGTCTCCGAGACCGCCGTCGCTTGCGCCGCCCAGACCGGGGATGAGAGTGAACTCTATACCTTCTCCGTCAATTAGCATCGCACAGCGGTTTTCAAGCGCACTACCGACCGCTTCTGTTGTGCCTGGAGCGGCGACCTCCGTCTAGGATACGTACGTAGACGCGCACGTAAAACGCTACGCGTTACTCGGCGTGAACTTTGACGTGTTTTTATCGCCGGTTGCTACGATCACTTTCCTTGGCGTTCATGCTACATATCATTGTCAGTTCTCCAACCACGGACAACCTGTCTTTTCTACATATGCATCATCATCCGCGCATACCATTTGCAATACGATCATTACTAGCCAATTGACCTAATCGGTCTGATAGAACTTGGGAAAGCGTCTGAGAGATATCTGTATGAGCATTGCGCGACAGAGATTACTTAAAGCCATGGAATAAGTATGGAAAGAACGGTGACAACAAGAGCAACGCATGAGAGGAACGTCCGACAAGCCCGCCAGAATCATGACAGATCCATGGCTTCCTCCCCCTCAGACGGGAAGCATAGCCCATTCTCCTCCGCGACCGCGTCATCATCATCCTCATTCCAATCACTCGTCGTCTCCCACTCGTTATCGAACTCAATATCGATGGGAAGTTGCCCATCCGTGAGCGGCAAGAACGACACAAGCTGACCAGCAACAGGCGCCGGCGCCGGATTCGTCGGCTGTACCCAACGCCGTTCACGTAGACGTTTATGCCTTTCGCGATCCTCTTCCATGCGTTTGAATATCTCGTGCCGAGGTAGAGCGTCTGATCTGGATGATGATGACCGGCGGGGAGGTGGCGCTTCGGCGAGTGGGGAGGGCGGTGCGTCGGATGAGCCTTGGAGGGGAGCTTGTCGAGAGTCGAGCGTTGCAAGCGCCTCGTCGACAATTTGCGGGTCGATGACGCGCTTGCTCCTCCAGTCATCCAACATCTGTATGGCAATTAGTCGAGGGTGCAAGCGCCACAGCCAATATACGCACCTGTCTTGTGCTCAATAAGTTCGGCAAACCGGTACGTCCTTCCGGAACGACATAGCCTACGACTTTACGAAGGTCTCGCGAGATATATTCGAGGTAGTAGGGCGGTGCGCTACCGCTCGCAAGTTGGTGCGGATGCGTGCTGTTCTTGGCGAGCACAGAGGACTCGCATAACGAGTCGAGGAAGTACAGTATATTTATCCTGTTGTTGATGGAACCCTGCAAGTACCAATGTGAGCACATATACTAGCATGTTGTGGAAACGGCACTATACCTTCTGGCATTCGTCAACAATACAGTCCCACAGGTCTTCTCCGCATTGTGCGTAGAATTTGAGCGCGAAGCCGACGGCTTTTTGGATGGACCGCTGCGTGCTGAGCGTTCTGAGGATGCGCTTGCCGGCCGAAGATGGATAAACTCACGCGTCCAGCTTGCGCAACAGTCCGTTAAATTGCATTCGGACTTCAAAGGGATCCATGGTGGGGGAAGAGCGCAAAGAGCGAAACTCGTCCTTTGCGCCACACGCGAGCCCTTGCACCATCAATGATTCAACCCTGGATCACAGTATATATATCTTGGAGAACAGCTACACAGGAGGTGTTTACTGATTACAGATCTTATGGCTCTTTACTCATCCAAAAGCTTGTGTGGGATGTGGTTCTCGTGGAAAAATGCTATGCATTTTGTCAGATGGACACATCCGGAATTGAACCGGACACCTCTCGCATGCTAAGCGAGCGTGATAAACCAACTACACCATGTGCCCATGGCTTATGTTAATATTATTATAACTACATAGAGCCTACCGCTAGATCTGCGCTGCTGAAATCTCTTGCTCGTCCTTGGCTCGCGCTCTTCCCGACTTCGCGCTCACCCTCCCCAGTCCACATCAACGCGCACGATGCGCAATCTCGCCCTCACATCCGCGCATCTAACCTCCCTCCCATCCCCATCAACCTCTCGCCTGAGCACCTCCTCGATCGACACCGACTCATCCTGCCTCTGGCTCGCGACCGAGCGATCTATCTCACCCGACGAAGTCGAGCTGACGATATGGCGCCAATCCACGCTCGACGAGGATGACCTGGACGGAAACGGCGCGCCGCTGGAGCAGATCGGCTGCTTGACCACTGCTAAAGCGGAAGGAGAGGGGAGCCAGGTCGTATCTCTGCACGCGCTGCCGGACGTCCGGACGCTGGTGCTCGTCGCAAGAGCAGGGGACATCGCGACGCTGAACACGGACGATCTCGGCGAACCCGTAAGTCTGCTACCTCACAGTGGATGAAGAGCACAAGAACTGAGCCCTGAAGATATAGATCCAAACCGTCGGAACCCTCGACGGCGGCGTCCTCTCCGCCTCCTGGTCGCCCGACGACTCTTCGCTCGCCCTCATCACCGGCGAACACAAGCTGCTCCTCCTCTCTCCCACGCTCGACGTGCTATCAGAGGCGCCGCTGCATAGTTCGCAGTTCGGGGAGAACGCGCCGATCAATGTCGGGTGGGGATCAAAGAGCACGCAGTTCCACGGCTCGGCGGGCAAGGCGGCGGCTAAGGCGTCGACGCGCGAGGAGGAGGTCGGCGCGGCGCCGGACGATGATGGTGCTCCGCGGATATCGTGGAGGCCGGATGGCGTGCTGTTCGTTGTATCGGCATTGTCGCCTCCGTCGGACGGTGCATTGAGGAGGAGAGTGCTGAGGATATACTCGCGCACGGGGACACTCGAGTCTACGAGTGAGGCTGTACCGGGACTCGAAGGCGCACTAGCAACTGGAAACGGAAACGCGTACATTGTCAGTACGCAGCGCTTCGGCGGCTTCTCTGGAGCAGGCCGCGGACCAGAGGGCCGACACGACGTCGTATTTTTCGAGCGGAACGGGCTGCGGCACGGAGAGTTCCGTCTTCGCGAGCCGAAAGGATCGAAGTACAGGGTCAAAGGGCTGAAATGGAGCGCGGATGGGAACGTGCTGGCTGTGTGGATCGAAGGGCAGGATGAGGAGAAGGATAGAGTGCAGCTGTGGACGAGCGGGAATTGGCATTGGTATTTCAAGTGCGAGATTAGGCCGCCGAAGGGCGCGAGGAGGTTTGTGGATGTTGGGTGGCATCCTGAGCAGCCGCTTGAGCTTGTGCTCTCTACTTCAGGTGGGTTTCAATGCTCTTACACATTTGAAGTGTCTACTGATTCATTGCTGCAGATGCCGTACTTCGCCAAAACTTGGCCTGGGAGACTGTCCGTTCACGCACAATTGCACCGGACGATACGGGTACAGTCGCAGTTCTCGACGGCAGTAAGCTCTTCATCCCCCACCTTATATCCTACCCATACTAATATACCTCACAGCCGACATCCTCCTAACGCCCTTCCGCACCTCCAACGCCCCACCGCCCATGTGCGCCCACCGCCTCACCCTCCCTCGACCTTCCCCACCCGCACACATATCTCTTTCTCCCTCCTTCGACGCGCTCGCGGCGCTATGGGCCGACGGATCGGTGATGGTGTACGAGCTGAACACGAGGCTCGAGCCGGCGAAGGGCGAGGTGCCCGCTATGATCCCGGTGCTGGCCTTTGAGGGCAGGATCGGCGAGACGGATGGAAGTGTGAGATGGCGCGAGGTATCGTTCACGAAAGGAAAGAAGGTAGCGGTCATCGGGATGCGGGACGACGATGGGAAGGAAGTGTTGAGCGCACTCGAGGCGCAAACGCGTGTTGTTGAGCTCGAAGGGACTGGATGGGCCTTCGTCAGAAGCAACGGAGAGAGCGAGGCGGTCGAAGTGCACAGCGAGGGCAAGATCGTACGCGGTAAGCACTTCTCTACACTCTGAGTGAGTCGGAATGGAGCGTGGGTATCCACGCGCCACAACTCTCGGCGCCCGCTCGGCCTGCGCGCTCATCACCGAACGTTGTTTTCAACCTCCACGCTAACTTGCCCCGCGCAGTGCTCGACGGCATCACCCAAACACCCATCGCAGACCTTGGCCGCGCATGCTCATCCATCGAACGGTCCGGCGGGCTCTACGTCGGTTTATCCGGTACCACGCTCCTTGCTTCCTCTTCATCCGCATCCGCATCCAGCACCCACACCGAACAAGACGCCTCTACACGAAAGAAGAGTTCGACGCTCGCGACAAACGCGACGTCCTTCGCACTTACACCTCAATTTGTGATATGGTCGACCGCGGCGCACGAGGCGCATTTCATCAGTCCTGAGGACGTGTTGGACACGCTCAACACCGGATCCGAGCTCAAAACCGGCTCTACTCCCGAGCTGAAGACCGAAAAACGCCGCATAGAGCGCGGCGCACGTATCGTGGTGCCCGTGCCGAGCACCACGGCGCTCGTGCTGCAGATGCCGCGGGGCAATCTCGAGACTGTACATCCGAGACCGATGGTGGGCGCGCGAGTCAGGGTGGATGTCGCACGGTATGTTTGTAGCCGCCAGACGCTGCAGAATTTACTCTGACGCTGGGATGTGCATGTGCAGTGGATCATGGCAGTCTGCGTTCCTCGCATGCCGCAAACATCGCATGGACCTCGCGCTGCTTGCCACGGATAACTTCGGGAACGCCGTAACCGAGTTCGTGGCGCAGATCGCGGACACGGATCACTTCAACCTTTTCCTCACCGCGCTCGGGTGCGTACTCTCTCTCACACATCTTCCACCTTTGAGCTTCCATACTGACCCGAGTTTCGGTGTGTGTAGACAGAGCGCGCTCCCGGCTGAGCGTGTGGGCGTGCTGTGCGACGCCCTCCGCGCCGAGCTCGAGCGCGTCGATCTGCGGAAGTACGTCAATGCCGTTCTCACGGCGCATGTTGTTAAGCGCCCGCCGGATATGGAGGGCGCGCTTGGTGTGCTGCTCGCTTTGCGCGGTTCGTACACCTTTCTTACTGGCGATGTACACGGCTGAATGGGATTTGTTGGGCTCACAGAAAGCGAGCCGGCGCTGGTCGAGGACGCGGTGAAATACGTGATTTTCCTTGTTGATGCGAACACGCTGTTCGACGTCGCGCTGGGCATGTATGATTTCGCGCTGGTCCTTCTCATAGCGCAGTACGCGCAGAAGGTAACACCCTCTCCCACAATCTACACAAGCATTCCAAGCTAACACACAATCAAAACCAGGACCCGCGCGAATACCTCCCCTTCCTCCGCGCCCTCCGCGCCCTCCCGCCCGCCTACCAAAAATTCAAAATCGACGACCACCTCCGGCGCCCCCAATCAGCTCTCCGCAACCTCCGACAAGCCGGCCCAGAGCATTTCTCCGAGGCGCTCAAGTACGTCGCCGACCACGGGCTGTACAAAGACGCCTTAAACCTCTGGAAAGACGATGCGGAGCGATACCCGGCTGTGCTGAGTCTCTGGGGCGACGATCTTTTCGAGCGGAGGGAGTTCGGGCAGGCGGCGGTGGTGTACGTGGAGAGCGGGGAGGTGCGGAAGGCACGGGCGGCGTATGAGCGCGCGTTGTGCTGGCGCGAGCTGTTCGCGCTCGGCGGGCTTTCTGAAGCCGAAACGATCGAGACTGCGCATCGTGTTGCTGAAGAGCTGCAAGCTAAGAAAAGGGCGCTGGAGGCGGGCGCTGTGTTGCTGGACTACGCGCGCGATGTGCGGGGCGCGGTGGGGGCTTTGGCGAGTGGGAACGAGTTCAGCGAGGCGCGGCGCGTCGCTATACTGCATTCGAAGCCGGAGTTGGTTGAGGAGATCGTGCACCCCGCGACACTCGACGCGCGCGCGCAGATCGGGGAGGATATCGCGGAGGCGCGCGCGCAGCTCGACAAGCAGTCGAGTCGGCTGGCCGAGCTGAGGCGGGAGAAGGCCGAGCTTGCGCCCGGCGCGTTTTACGGGGCCGACGCGGACGACCCTGCACTGGCGGACGTGGACGTTATGACGGACGCGTCGGCCTTTACGGCGTTCACGCGGTACACCGTCGCGCCCAGCGCTGCGAGTTCGAAGGCTACTAGTAAGCGGAGCAGCAGGAGTAAGAGGAAGATGGAGAGGAAGGTGGGGAGCGGAAGGAGGGGCACGGTGGACGAGGAGGAGTATTTGCTTAATAGCGTTGTTAAGCTCAGCAACAGAGTCGAAGTCATGCAAGAAGAGGTTGCCGCGGTCGTACCGCACTTGTTGGCGTTTACGGCTTTGCATCGCGCGGAGGCGAGGACGTTGACGGGCGAGATGGAGGGGTTGGTTGGGAGGTTGGAAGAGGCGATCAAAGAGGCATGGCCGGAGGGTGGGGAGGAGGGGGAGTCTAAGGAAGGGGAGGGAGAGGGCGGGTGGAAGAGGAGAATGGAGGAGTATGTGAGGGATCGGGAGAGGGCTGTGAAGAGTATCAAGCGGCCGGAGGTCGGGAGGGGGGAGTGGAGGGTTAGGTTGGTTGACTTTGTTGAGGGAGAGTGAGGCGCTGTTAGTTGGGAAAAGTAATTTAGACGATGCGCATATGGGTCTCATTCAACATTTGTATCGGTAGTGCAGTCATATTGCGTTGTAGCTGTAGCTAATGTATTTCATGCTGCGAGAGCGCGACTCCCTGGTTCAGAACTGCCGTCCGGCACGTCTTGATTGAACAAGTATCGGCCAATCGATTCATCGGCAATTGCGGTATACTGCCATAACAGGTCAAGATGAGAGGCTTTTAGTTCGTATGCCGGAATCCATTTCCACAGGTACAGGTGTGACGTTCCGTAACACTCCTTGTCAGCTCGATTGACCGGTTCAGTTGCGAGTTGATCTTCATGATAACTATGCAATCAGCAGCGACTACAACTGAACCAGTTGGTGATCGACAGCTGACAGCCCTCACGAAGATCCTTGGTTTTTGCACGTAAGTACAGGAAGCCAGTTGGCTCAAGTAGGTAGCTGCCGGTACGCCGTAGCGTTAACCTCTGCCACGGAGAACTCGGGCTCGGAGCTCGATTGAAAGTTGGTGTAGCGGTTGTCAAGACAGTATCAGCAGACGTTCTCGTGCGTGATCGTCAGTGGATATAGGAGGCCATCTACGCCACACTGTCGACGGCGAGCCCCCATTTTTTGCACGAACAGTCTGAAAGCAGCTCCAGAGTTGCCCATCTCGCGTTGCGATGTGATCCGGCAACTCCCGTGTTCATGCCCGACGGCGCCGCAGCGGCGCGCTTGTTGGACTTGACTCTCATGTCGTTCATTTTCAGCTCCACTGAGCCCACTACCTGCATCCATGGCCGCAAAAGCATCGTGCTCAGTCCGCTCACTTTACGTGTCAGCGTCATGGATTTCCTTTCCGTCCTTCTACCACGGCCGGCGATTTCTGCACACCTGTGTACATGCGACATGGCCACTTGCGTACGACAGGCCTAGAGCTTCTTTGAATATCATTGCGCCTCCCTTTTGTCACAATGGACTCTATCTTGACATTCAATTCAATCTCTGCAGGTTTTCCGACCAGAACGTGTAGACTGAAAGGCGTTGTCAAACGTGCTCGCCCGTGGCAGACGCGCGTCAGCTGGATACCGCTCGTCTGCACGGGTAGACGACGCAATAAATTGGCATCGACAGCCAAAGTGGCAAGCACGTCGTATATCGACTGCCATTGGCACTGCAGAATCAGGTCTTCCTCCCGCGCGGCCGGGAAGAATATGCGCATAGCAGGCATATCGGGTTTCAATGCTAGCGCTCACAGCCCCCTCGACGCTCATCGCGGCGTCTGCAGTACGTGACAGTGGGGCTTCAATGCTGTCAAACGCCCCAGCGTGGCCTCGATTGCGAATTGTCGACGTGGGTGGCGTACCCTTGTCATTGTCAAGGAAGGTGCAGCCACTTGGGCCTGTGGAGACGGTCTGGACGGATGGGCCCTGAAGCGGATGCCCCCCAGAAGATCTCTGCTCCAGTTGAACCTCTTTGACCGCTCTATGCTGTTCGCTGGGTCATGGAACTCAAGTCGAATCGTGTTTGATAGGCCTCTTGGCCGAGATCCGCTACCGTATCCATGCCTATGCATCTATGCCTACGGGCGACAGCCGTTGAGCTCTATGTCTTTTGTGCACTCAAGCGGTGTCGTGAGAGCAGCAATTGACTTACTATGCACACATGAAGTCGACAATCTTTGGCGACGCATGGTCGGACTTGAATCCCGTGCATCGGCCCTTGTGCTGCTTGAACCGCTCTGACAGGTGGCCAAACTCCGGGCCAGCGTCTATTTTGAGCAGATATATAAACCGTCCGAAGAGCGACATTCTAACCCAGTGCTCCTCGCTTTAGCATCGACGCACACCCACAGATCAACTTCCCTCACACCCGTATTCTGTTATTCTGTTATGTCGCACATCCTCGCAACTGGCGCTGCAGGCGGCACATTCAACCGGCTTGAAATCAACGATCTGATCAAGAACAAGGACCAGTTCTCGTTATACGTCCAGGCCATCGGTGAGTTTATTGTGGCTCGCGGATGAAAGCTTCTCCTTATGCATGAACACAGCAAGCATGCACGGCCAGGACCAGTCGAAGCCGAGCTCGCATTTCCAGCTTTGCGGTATTCATGGTCTGCCATACGTATCTTGGGATGCATCAGGCGGCGACGAAAGGGGCAACAAGGCGCGCGGCTACTGTACACACGCCATGGTCACGTTTCCCACTTGGCATCGAGCGTATGTCGCTCTCTACGAGGTTTGTGCATTACCACCAGTGTCGTTCTTCACCGCACCAAAACTCATATTCCGTCTAGAAAATCCTTCAGGAGAACGCCATCGATATAGCCAAGACGTATACTGAAGCTAACGGGATACGCGACCGGTTCATGAAGGCCGCTCAGGAGCTGCGCGCGCCGTTCTGGGATTGGGCGAGGTCCGTTATACTTATAGCGTTCCATCCCTTTGCATGATCGCTGATCATTTCGACAGCTCGGCGGTCCCTCCCGCGGAAGTCATCGAGCGCGAGGAACTCAACATCATTGGGTCCGACGGGAACGAAATGCCGGTCAAGAACCCGTTACTCGCATATACCTTCCATCCTATCGACGGCAGCTTCCCTAGCCCATATTCAGAGTGGCAAACGACACTGAGGCACCCAGTGCCAGTGAAAGGGCCGGACGCAAAGAGTTCTGTGCCGCGGCTTAAAGCGTAACTCCTCTGGCGCTCTTCGAGTCTAATCTCAACGCTTATAATGTGCTTTACAGAGCTCTTGAAGAAGAGTACGAGCAGCGCAAACTACAGACATTCCTGATGCTGGCCCTTCTTAGCAAGTGGGAGGAATTCAGCAACACCTCAGTCAGCAAAGGAGCCTGTGTGAGCAGTCTTGAACAGATTCACAATGATATTCACGAGTATGAGGGAATATGATCTATACGCGTTGGCGCATGTGCTGACTCGGGCCTAGCTCTATTGGTGGCAACGGTCACATGGCGGACCCAGCTGTAGCCGGTACGTAGTCTAACTACATAATCTTTCGAATGTCAAATGTCTGACACTATATTCACATATAGGTTTCGATCCGATTTTCTTCTTGCATCATGCGAATGTCGACCGTCTACTCTCCTTCTGGCGCGCTCTTCATCCTAATGAGTGGGTCACGCCTGGTTCCGCCGGTCTAGGTAATTGGACGATTCCCGCGAACGAAACAATCGGCGAGCACACGAGTTCGTCCCAATCACTATGCCCATTTGTGCAGAACGTTGATGCGTTGTGATTCGGCTAGATCTGGCGCCTTTTCGGTCCGACCAGGACAACTTTTGGATCTCCTCGAAGATGACCTCGACTTCTTTGCTCGGCTATACGTACCCAGAGTTCAACGGGCTTAACATGGACGACGCGAAAAAGGTCCGGTCCACCATCGCTGGTAGCGTGTTGCGACTTTATGGCGACTCCATCTTTACTGCTAGCTCCAAGCATCCGACAGATGCCCGCTTGTATGGTTTGCAAGCCAGCTTCACTGCTCAAGAGAACGCACCTGTACCGAAAGGGGGGATCATCGACTGGACCGCACATGTTCGCGTGAAGAAATTTGAGCTTGGTGGATCTTTTGCCATCTTATTCTCCCTCGGGAAACGGGAGGATATCCCTGAAGACCTGGACGCTTTGCGCGCTTCTCCTTCGTTTGTCGGCGGACACCATGTCTTCGCTAACGCGTCAGCGGAGCAATGCGCCAACTGTCGCGAACAGAGCGAGCTCGTCGTGGAAGGATACGTACATCTGAACCTCGCGATTGCACGGCTTGCCTCATCCTTGGGCTCCTTTGACCCACAAGTCATCGTGCCCTATTTGAAGGATAATCTACAGTGGCGGATTCAGAAGGTATGTGCTTTGTCTACCTTTCCCATGTCAATCATATACTAAGACCATACGGTAGGACCGGGGACCAGCAATTTCAATTGACCGACTTCCATCGCTCAAAATCACGGTTGCCGCCACACCGCTCGATCTCAACCCGGCTACGAGCGTGGAACCCTCTCGCCCTTCTATGCCGGCAGCGCCCTCCATAAACTTGTTCAATGCGCTGAGCCCTAGTCTCGCGGCCAGCGTTGGTGCCGGGGCCAGCGTCAGCGGCATGGCCAGCTTCGATCTCATGTCCACTGGCATCGGTGTCGCGCCAAGCGTCAGTCTTCCGACGGCCGGCGAGACGCAATATTACTCTGAGATCACCGTTGGCCGTCCAGGTGGCTCTAGCGAGGCGTAGATGTCGAGACTGGTAGCGGACTGAGGCAACTATATACATACGTACATCGATATAGAACGACTGTGAATGATCTTGATGAAACGTTTCTCTGCTTCCCAAGTGATTCTTGTGAGAATGTCTCCGGCACATTCCGGAAGACCGCCTGAGAGCGAGCGCCGCGGTTGTCGGCCTCCGCGCGTTCGATGCCTCTCTGCCTGTCCCCACCACCTTTGAGCGCTTCTCTAGGGTTCAGAATGCACCGCTTTACCACCTCTCCATCTCTCACAGTTACAGGGTCCTTCTAGCCTTCCCGCAGGCGCTACACGCGCGTCTGCTGTACCTGCGCCAATTACCTCATGGCGCTTGATTCGGTGTACGCGCAATTGCCTCTCAAGAGTTCGCCGTCCTCTTCGCCACACCCAACCTTCAGACTCTACGCTGGTCCGATTCTCCGAACTGCTACAAATGTAGCTCCCGTAAACTTCAGCATATTGTAAATATGCTCGTTGCCGCACGTTCCGTCGACTCTTCACCAGGACCACCAGGACCACCGTCATCACACACACACAGACCATGATGGGTCGTTCAAGATCTACTTATTACCTACTGTGTGTCAAGGCGGGCTCTCGAATAAGCTTAGGGTTTCCTCTGCGACTGCGATGACTAGGTGGCTAAGGGATGAAACGTATCGGAACGACTGTTAGGGCGCAAGGCTTTCCGCCTACGATGTATATTGCATTCCCGACCCTTGTACTTGCGGTACACCGGAACACTTCATTGCGTCAAGTGTTTGGACCCAACCTTGTTGAAGACGTCTTCACCTGAGTGGCGCACGTTGGCGGGGGAGAGCGGTGACTTGGCATCGTCGAAATTGTCCCATTGTAGCGCCCGTACCCGCTTTGGGTGATCCGCCTCTGGCCGTCATCTGTCGACGACGTTCATCCCTTCACATATCTCTCCGGCGTCGAGGAGATTCCTGGAGGACAATTCATCAACCCGGTCTACAGGATACTCACATCCTCTGCTATGGACCTGGCGTTGTCGCACAACTCCCATGGAATAGCAAGATACTCGCACTTCCCCTTGCGATGAATGGACTGGTGTCATGCTGTACGGATATCTACTCCTGTGCGCCTCGCAAACTCACCATCTATGCAGTCTTCGGTTGATCTGGCAGTCATCTGTCTTACACTGGATTCCTGCAACCGGTCAGTTTTACCGCCCATAGTCCGGCATTAGCAGTCCCAACTACGCAGCTGGGATGCGGTAGATCGGAATCAAAGCTCCGAATGCCTCGCTCTGCATTTCACTCGGCAACCTGACCTCGACCGGCGCCTACCTGTCTGGCTATATAAACACTACAGATGCGGGTAGTTCGAGTCAGCGTATCTCGCTTCAGCATCAACGAATATACACCTCGAAAGTCTTTACCAACACCCATCCAACATGTCGTACATCATCGTAACGGGCCCCCGCGGCGGCAACACGGCGGGTGCCGACGCTCCCAACAGGCTTGACATCAACGATCTCGTGAAGATCGAGGATCAGTTCTCCCTCTACGTGCAAGCGATCGGTGAGATCGACACTACCTGCTAGCCACTACTTTCTCCTGCTCACGTTCCATATAGCGCGCATGTACGCCGATGATCAGAGCCAGCTGGTCTCCCACTTCCAGATCGGCGGTATCCATGGCTTACCCTATGTGGCCTGGGATGGCTCCGGAGGCAAAGAGGGCAGCAACCCTGACGACCCGAACCAGTGGCGCGGATACTGCACGCACGGCATGGTCACCTTCCCTACCTGGCATCGGCCCTACGTCGCGCTCTACGAGGTTCGCCAAGTCCTTGTTTACTCGTAGATCATGGAGTTGAACCATCTCTACCAGCAAACTCTCCAGTCCCACGCTATTGAGATTGCGAAGACCTACACGGAGGCCAACGGCGTCCGCGACCGGTTCATGAAAGCCGCACAGAACTTGCGCGCACCGTTCTGGGACTGGGCTAGGTCCTTCTCTTCTTGCAACTCGCTACCCGATACATGTCTCTGACCTATGTACATAGCTCGGCTGTTCCCCCGGCGGAAGTCATCTCGCTCAAGCAACTCAACATCATCGGTCCTGACGGGAAGACGAAATCTGTGAACAACCCGTTGCTCGGCTATACCTTCCATCCCATCGACCCCAGCTTCCCTGAGCCCTACGCTGAGTGGAAGATGACGTTGAGGCACCCGGTCCCGCAACAAGGCCCGAACGCGAAGAGCAACCCTCAGCAACTGAAGTCGTGAGTATTGTGTGGGCTACAATTCATGACTTCAGCGCTGACATGTTTTTCTCCAGGACCATGGAATCAGAACAAGAGCAGATCACGCAGAAGACCTACTTCATGCTCACGCAGTTGCACACATGGCCTGAGTTTAGCAACCACACTGCCAGTGAGGGCGCCTCTGCCAACAGTCTCGAGGCTATCCACGACGGCATCCATGTGTGCGTATTCCGCGTACGACTCATGGTGCAGTATCCTGATCTCATCTTAGTGATGTTGGTGGTGCCGGACAGATGTCAGACCCATCGGTAGCAGGTACGTGCCTCTAGTTTGTAGAAGAACTCTGAGCTCACGGGATGCAGGCTTCGATCCCATCTTCTTTATGCACCACGCCAACGTCGATCGCATGCTTTCTCTCTGGCGCGCGCTCAACCCGGATAAGTGGATCACGCCGGGCAACGCCGAGGACGGTGGCTCCTGGACGATCCCTGACAATGCACAAGTCGACGCGAATACCGGTCCGTCTTCCTCAGATCTGTCTATGTGTAGGCTACTGCTGATGTACTTCAATTCGTCTAGACCTGACGCCTTTCTTGGCCCGCCAGAACGATTACTGGGCCTCTTCTGCCACGACGTCGACGTCCGAGTTCGGTTACACATACCCAGAGTTCAACGGCCTCAACATGGGCAACCCCGACAGTGTTCAGACCGCCATTGCCGACAAAGTTAACCAGCTCTACGGCGGCCTCGTCTTTGCTTCTAGCGCCAAAGGTGCGGCCGGCATCCAGCCCTCGGACGCGCAAGCTACCTTTGCTGCTGCGTCGGTACCTGCCAGTGGCAATGGTCAAGCACCGTCAGCCGAGGGCGGTGACGCTGACGGTAGTGCTCGTCAACTGCCCCCGTTGCCCATCAACCCGCTGCAGCCCGGTGTCTCCAACAGCGCGGTGTACAGCTGGGTCGCACGTGTCCGTGTCAAGAAGTACGAGGTCGGGGCATCGTTCTCGGTGCTCTTCTTCCTAGGCAAGTCGGCGGAGATCCCGGAAGATCCATCAGCATGGCGCTCCTCGCCAATCTTCGTCGGTGGCCACCACGTCTTCGTGAATACGGTTGCGGGCCACTGCGCGAACTGCCGCAATCAGCGCGAGCTCGTCGTCGAAGGCTACGTCCATCTTGACCGCGCCATCGCGCGGGATGGGTCGTCGCTGGGATCATTTGAACCGCGTGTCATCGTGCCATACTTGAAGGACAACCTCCAGTGGCGAGTACAGAAGGTGTGTTCTCACGCATCTCTCTATGCCAAATGCATGTTGATGTACGTCTCAGAACCACGGGCCAGCCGTAGCGCTCGATCAACTCCCTTCGCTGGAGATCACCGTTGCTGCTACGCCTCTCACTCTCGAGGCGGGCGCGCAGTTCCCGACGCCGGGTGAAACTCACTTCTACCCCGAGATCACGGCTGGTCGTCCGGGTGGCGCCCGCGAGAACTGAGATGATTCCTGATGTGTTTCCGATTTCCGAATGATAGTTGAACGCTGATGGCCTGCAATTGCCGGGGAGGAGTACGATTTGTATTATATGATGTATTCTGGATAGCTGAGCAGGATATATGGACGCGTACTGCACCACAGAACCTTTCGAATGGAAGCAGATGGCGGCGCCGACTTTGGGATCATACTCCCACCGACAGCTTCGACTTGATGATAACTGAATGGCAGCGGCCTACTGAACGCCCAGAAGGCTGTGCATGCGCCTGTAACACATCGGGCCTCTCGGGCTGTTGCTGAACTCACCTGCAGTGGGATTGTCGAGGGATCATGTTCACCTTCGACTAGCACGAGCATTCAAGAAAGCGGGCAGCCCACAATGTCAGGATCTAGCAAGCAGCGCAGCTTTAAGAGGATTACGGAGCTTTCGGGTGAGCTTGCGACGGTATGGATGCGCGTACCATCTGTTCAAACTAAATATGTTTAGACTCCCAGCTTGCAGAGCTTGTTTATCTTGCGTCGACAGCTTTTGGCGATAATCGTCAGTCATATCTACTTCGAAGGGTGAAGACAGCTCACGCAGTACAGACC